AGAATTAAAGTATCCTTATCTTTTAAATTGCATGTTAGGTTTTGGGGTACATGTGAAGAACATGCAGGATTGTTGCATAGGTACACACGTGGCAGCGTGGTTTGCTGCCTTCTTCCCCTTCACCTACATCTGGCATTTCTCCCCACGCTATCTCTCTCTCTCTCTCTCTCTTTTTTTTTTTTTTTGAGACAGAGTCTTGCTCTGTCACCCAGGCTGGAGTGCAATGGCGTGACCTCGGCTCACCGCAACCTCCGTCTCCTGGGTTCAAACAGTTCTGCCTCAGCCTCCTGAGTGGCTGGGAATACAGGCATGTGCCGCCATGCCAGGCTAATTTTTGTATTTGTCGTAGAGACGGGGCTTCACCGTGTTGGCCAGAATGGTCTCAAACTCCTGACCTCGTGATCCACCCGCCTCGGCCTCCCAAACTGCTGGGATTATAGGCGTGAGCCACTGCGCCCAGCCCCGAATCAAGGTATCCTTGAAGGACCTCCTGCTGGAATGAAAAAACATTTCCCAACTCTTCCTGAGATTCTCCTGCGTTAGGTTCTCGGGCTCCCTCTCACGGCGCCCCGGGGCAGGGTCACAGCTTCTACAGGGCTTGGGTTCCAGCCGAATGCAGCCACGAAGCTCCTAGCAAGTAGGATTTCCTGTGTCCTGCGGGCATGCCACCCTGGCATCTTGGTGCAGGGGTCTTGAAGCCTCGTACTCTTTTTATTATTATTTTTTTCTTGTTTGTTTCTGTTTGTTTTCTTTTCTTACTATACTTTAAGTTCTGCGGTCCATGTGCAGAACGTATGGGTGTGTTACACAGGTACACACGTGCCGTGGTGGTTTGCTGCACCTGTCAACCCATCATCTACGTTAGGTATTTCTCCTAACGCTCTCCCTCCCCTACCCCCAACCCCCCAACATGCCCCAGTGTGTGATGTTCTTGCATTCTCGCTGTTCAGCTCCCACTTAGGAGTGAGAACATGCGGTGTTTGGTTTTCTGTTCTTGTGTTAGTTTGCTGAGAATGATGGTTTCCAGCTTCATTTATGTTCCTACAAAGGATGTGAACTCATCCTTTTTGATGGCTGCATAGTATTCCATGGTGTCTACGAGCCACGTTTTCTTTATCTAGTCTATCATTGATGGGCATTCGGGTTGGCTCCAAGTCCTTGCTATTGTGAACAGTGCCATAATATGGCCTTGGATTCTCCTGCCTCAGTCTCCTGAGTAGCTGGGATTACAGGCACACACCACCACACCCAGCTAGTTTTTGTATTTTTAGTAGAGATGAGGTTTCACCATTTTGCCAGGCTTGTCTTGAACTCATGACCTCGTGGTCTACCAGCCTCGACCTCCCTAAGTGCTGGCATTACAGGCGTGAGCCACCATGCCCAGTGGCTCAGGGTTTTCCTGTTTCTCACATCCCCGCAAGTATTTCTGGGCGAAATTACAGTGGAGTGTGAGGAATTCCTATCCAGATAGCAGTATGCTCAGAAGCAGCGCTTCCAAACTGTGGCAAAACTCTCTCTCCCCCAATCTGCAGGAGATTGATAACTGCCTTAGATACAATAAAAATGAATTAGTTTAAAAAAAAAAAGTGCTTTTAAGAAATTTAAGAAACATGCAAAGTAGAAGCTCCTGATGTGTCTTTTTTTTTTTTTTTTTTTTTTTTTTTTTTGAGACGGAGTTTCGCTCTTGTTACCCAGGCTGGAGTGCAATGGCGCAATCTCGGCTCACCGCAACCTCCGCCTCCTGGGTTCAGGCAATTCTCCTGCCTCAGCCTCCTGAGTAGCTGGGATGACAGGCACGCGCCACCATGTCCAGCTAATTTTTTGTATTTTTAGTAGAGATGGGGTTTCACCATGTTGATCAGGATGGTCTCGATCTCTTGATCTCGTGATCCACCCGCCTTGGCCTCCCAAAATGCTGGGATTACAGGCGTGAGCCACCACGCCCGGCCCCCTGATGTGTCTTTTTTAAGCCATTGGACTGAGCACAGCTTACGTGACTGTCATTATTTTTTCTTAGGTCTCTAAATGTTGACTTGCAGTTTCTGAGCACAGCTCATCACAGACAGTTTGCAGTAACAGTTCACGGGGTAGCAGCCGTCTGTCCGCTCTACCGCGAGGGACTCCGATTCAGGAGCGTGCAGACCATCATTCCATCCGGTGTTTTACTTTTTTACTGGTATTTTTGAGACAGAGTCTGGCTGTGTTGCCCAGGCTGGAGTGCAGTGGTGTGATCTCAGCTCACTGCCACCTCCGCCTCCCAGGTTCAAGCGATTCTCCTGCCTCAGCCTCCCGAGTAGCTGGGATTTCAGGTGGCTGCCACCACCCCTGGCTAATTGTTGCATATTTAGCAGACACAGGCTTTCACCACACTGGGCAGGCGGATGTCAAGCTCCTGACCTCAAGTGATCCACCTGTCTTGGCGTCCCAAAGTGCCGGGGTGACCGGGGGAAGCCAGCACACCCGCAGTCCCCAGCCCCGCAGCTGTATTTCTCGAAGGAAAAGACTGAAAGTACCATTTCCTTTTTCTTGATGGCCTGGTGAGTTGGCACAGACAGGCTTCATTCTCCATGAGGAAGACGCTCTTACACTGTCTTAAAACACACCTTCCAAGAGGAGGTGGAAGGATACGTTTCAGACTTTGGGCTTTGCCTGCCACCTTGGGCTGACTGCTGGCTGTTAACGGTATTTCAGGTGCGCTAGATCAGCCAGACACAACGAAACCTGAACGCCCTGTCTCAGCCTGAGCTCTGTGCTGCAGGAAGCATCATCTCTTATGATCGACGGCCATGCCCACCTCTGTTCTAGGGTCCTGGAACCCAGGGATTGATCTGAGTGTGTTACCAACAGCTAGGCGAGGCTGGGCACGGGGGCTCACGCCTGTCACCCCAGCACTTTGGGAGGCCAAGGTAGGCAGATCACGAGGTCAGGAGTTTGAGACCAGCCTGGCCAACATGGTAAAACCCCGTCTCTACTAAAAACACAAAAATTAGCCGGGTATGGTGGTGCACACGTGTAATCCGAGCTACTCAGGAGGCTGAGGAAGGAGAATCACTTGAACCCATGTATTATACTTTAAGTTCTGAGATACATGTGCAGAGCGTGCAGGTTTGTGACATGGGTGTGCATGTGCCATGGTGGCGGTTTGCTGCATCCATACCCCCGTCACCTACATTAGGTATTTCTCCTAATGCTCTCTCTCCCCAATCTCTGCACCCCCTGCCGTCACTCCCCGAGCCCCCTATCCCTCAGACCCCAGTGTGTGATGCTCCCCTCCCCGTGTCCATGTGTTCTCATTGTTCAACTCCCACTTATGAGTGAGAACATATGGTGTTTGATTTTCTGTTCTTGTGTCAGTTTACTGAGAATGATGGTTTCCAGCTTCACCCATGTCCCTGCGAAGGACACGAACTCGTCCTTTTTGATGGCTGCATAGTATTCCATGGCGTCCATGTGCCACGTTTCCTTTATCCAGTCTGTCCTTGATGGGCATTTGGGTTGGTTCCAAGTCTTTGCTATTGTGAATGGTTCAATAGAGTCTCAATCTGTCCCCCAGGCTGGAGTGAAGTGGTGATCTCAGATCACTGCAACCTCCACCTCCCAGGTTTAAGCAGTTCTCCTGCCTTAGCCTCCCGAGTAGTGGATTACAGACACCCGCCACTGCGCCCAGCTAGTTTTTGTAATTTTAGTAGACACAGGGTTTCACCATGTTGGCCAGGCTAGTCTTGAACTCCTGACCTCGTGATCCAACCACCTTGGCCTCCCAAAGTGCTGGGATTATAGGCGTGAACCACCGCGCCTGGCCACAAAACGTCCTTCACACAATTGAGCACATCGCTTTCACAGATGCAGCCCAAATGGGAACTGGGAGAGGAGCTGAAGAGTGGGACGGACACGTTGGATACAAAAGACGTGAACCTTCCTCTCTGCCTGCTTGATGTCACAAAGGTGTCCCTGCGTCTTTCACTCTCTAAAAGAGTCATCTCTAGCCAGACACAGCAGCTCACGCCTGCAGTCCCTCCCTTTGGGAGGCTGACGTGGGAGGCTCACCTGAGCTCAGGCGTTCAGCAGCAGCCAGGGTAACATAGCGAGACCCTGTCTCCAGAAACATCAATGTAACAAAATATAAAATGCCCTCTTTTATTATTCTACTGCAGAAAAAGGAAGTCCTGCCTTCTGAGTCCTTCTGTGCTTCTGTTACATATGCTGTGTAACAAAATAACAGACTCAGAGGCGTGGGAAGGGCTCATACTTACTCCACAGCTTCTGTGCGTCTCACCCGGCCTGGGGTCCTCTCTGGACCTCAGGATCTTCTTCAAAGTTCACGTGGGTATAGGCAGAATCCAGTTCGAGGTTCTGAGTATCGCTCTGGCGTTTGGACAGGGGCTGTTCTCAGCTCTTAAATAGCCCACACCCAGGTTCCGGCCGCAACGTGTTCTCACAAAACATCAGCTCACGTCAAGGTCAGGAGGAGAATGATGTGTCCCACATGCCCTCAAGGGAAGGGGATTATGCAAGAATGTGACTCATGGATGGTGTCCCTAGAGTATGATGTCCTCATCATACCCCGCTGACATGTCCAGTTAACTGTTACTTCCTGGCCAGATGCAGTGGCTCCTGCCTGTAATCCCCGCACTTTGGGAGGCCGAGTGGGGCGGATCACCTGAGGACAGGAGTTTGAGATCATCCTGGCCAACACGATGAAACACTGTCTCTACTCCAAAAAAAAAAAAAAAAATCAGCTGTGCACGGTAGCATTTGCCTGTAATCCCACCTACCCAGGAGGCGGAGGCAGGAGAATCGCTGAGGCTGCAGTGAGCCGAGATGATGCCACTGCACTGCAGCCCGGGGGACAGAGCAAGAGTCCGTCTCAACAAGAAAAGAAAAAAAAAAAAGTGTCACTTTAGGTCAGATTGAAGTTGACCTGTTTAGAAATTTCGTTATCCTCTGCAACAGGTTTGAAGATAACCAGATATTCTTTGTGCGTGTGTGTCTTTTTCCAGTGGAGTTTTTATACTGTGACCTGGCTTCGATGGCGTCCATCTGGCGGTTTGTCCAGAAGTTCAAGATGAAGAAGATTCCCCTCCATGTGCTGGTTAACAATGGTGAGTCCTGGTGAAATTGCCGCATCCCAGGGGTTAATTAGGATGCAGGCAGGAGCAGGCGAGAGACGCGTTGGAGCAGAATGGGATGGCCGTGGCGGTGACCGCACAGACTCACTGCTTCCCTTCCCCCATAGCGCTGGAGGAGTGTCCCGCACATTAGCATGCGACTTTCGGATAATGGTCAACGTGATGACGTGTTGTGTGGGATTGACACGCTGACCGGCCCACTTTGGCCGAAGTGTATTATGCACATGCCAAGGGTTGGTATTTTCCCAAATGTTGTCTTACAAAATCATCCCCACACTCCGTCAGGAGTCACTCTTAGGGCTCTAGGAGGTCAGTACGGTTTCTCTTCTGATTTTACCCATCACTCTGATCCCCTGCTCAGTCGTTGTCTTTGTTTTCTAAAAGTTACGCGGACCCCTCCACACTTGACACCTCCAGACTAAGTAAATACATAGAGCCGAAGCGCTCAGAAATGCCCCGGAAACACATGTGTGCCGGTAGAATTGAACACATCTCGTTCAGAGCTGGAGACAAAATGGAAATTTAGAGAGGAAATGAATCGTGAAATTAATACGGCGGATGGAACAGACATAAGTGAGCTCATAGACAAAGCACATTCCTTTCAAATACATGAAATATTTATCAAATTAGTGATACTTTACATGGCAGAGAACAAAAAGTCACCACAATGGCCTTGTGATTATCCATGTAATTACTCAATTACCCACATAGAGCATTAAAGATTCTTAATTCTGCAGAATCCCCGTTGCTATCTAAGGCACCATCGTCCCTAGGACAGGGACACGTGTGTAAAGAGGGAGGAAGCGTTATTCTTTCTACGAAAGTTGTAATCCTGGTCTGTGTCCGGCTGCTGAGATGTGGCACCTTCCCTGCAATTTTTTCTCTTTTTGTCTTGATGTGTTTCGTCTTTTTCTATAACATTAATGCGATTGGAGCACATGGGAATAGCATATGAACAACGCTGGGTCTACGGTTGTGTCTCCCACGTGGGGTCAGGACGTGGACATCTCTGGGGCCATTATTCTGTGTCCCACATGGGGATTAGGACGTGGGCATCTTTGGGGCCATTATTCTGTCTCCCACATGGGGATTAGGATGTGGACATCTCTGGGGCCATTATTCTGTCTCCCACATGGGATTAGGATGTGGACATCTCTGGGGCCATTATTCTGTGTCCCACATGGGATCAGGACGTGGACATCTTTGGGGCCACTAGTCTCTTTCACACGTGAATCATGTGGACCTGGATGTTGCTGGGGAAGCAGCAGTGGAGGAAGGGTTTCCGGTGTGCCTACATAAACTGGTTATAAGGAATGTACGAAAGAAATCAGGAACAATAAACTGTGGAAGGCTGCAGGAGGCGTCTGGGGAAGAAGGCTTCTCTATTGCCAGCATGTCCCCAGAGCAGAGTGACCTAGACTCGGGGCCTTCCCCACCGCCATTACACGTGACGGTCCCCTGATCCCACTTTCATTCTGAATCTGTCTTTTTCTCATTCCTTTGTCACCACTGATCTCAGGGTACCCATGGGTGGGGTGTGCGGCTGGTTCCCTACAGACATCTTGGGGTGTGCATTAACTTGCCATAACCACTTGCTCTGCACCTCACATACTTTAGTTGCAGGAAAAATACAATTATAAACCAGATTCTTGATCTCGTGGAGATCGTAGTCTCAAAGGAAGCAAGGTCAATAATGATTCTGTGAAATGTCCCGCCTTAGAGAAAACACTTCTCGCCGTGTGAGAACACAGTCACAGAAAAGACAGAGAAGGCTGCATCCCAGTCACAGCGGTCCCTAGAATTTCCCCGCCGGGGCTGTCCAGGAGATGATCCTGGGAATCCGTGTGTTACAAGAGGGTGGCTTGAAATCACACTGGGTGCTTTCTTCTGTGTATCTTTTTTTTCTACATCATTCAGGAGGTTGGCCTGGCTGCGGCTTCTCTGGGCTCCCTGGAGGTTTATGTGGCTGGTTAAGGACATCCACATTTATCATGTCCCTGGGGTCATTGTTGAGAGGAGCTCAGTTGCAGAGGGTCTCCATTTTTCTTTTTTTTTTTTTTTTTTTTTTTTTTTTTTGAGATGGAGTCTTGCTCTGTCTCCAGGCAGGAGTGCAGTGGCGCAATCTCGGCTCAGTGCAACCTCCGCCTCCCAGGTGCAAGTGACTCCCCTGCCTCACGCCCCTGAGTAGCTGCGCCTACAGATGGCCACCACCACGCCCAGCTAATTTTTTCTATTGTAGTACAGTTTGGGTTTTACCATGCCGGCCAGGATGGTCTTGATCTCCTGACCTTGTAATCCACCTGTCTCAGCCTCCCAAAGGGCTGGGATTACAGGCATGAGCCACTGCGCCCAGCCTATATATATATATATATATATTTTTTTTTTTTAACCTCTCTGGGTTCACTCAGAAGCTTCCAGAAAAGAGCTGGAGACTCCACTCCTGGAGGCTCTGTTGAATACCCATGGCACGTTCTCCACAAGAAGACAGAAAAACAGAGGGGGGGTGTCTCATTGGCAAATCCTGTTGATTCTCTTGGAAAGGCAGCGGAACCACGGAGCTCACAGAGGCTCTTGGCCTTGGACGGGCCTCCTGAGATACCCGGATGCGTCACCGGCCCGTCTCCTGGAGGCTTGATTTAGAGAAGAAGTAAAGGAGTTTTCTCACTTGTCGCGTGAGTGTTTTACACATCAGAATTCATCGTTGCGTGCAGGGGAGAAGGCTGGATTCTACACCGTCGGTGCTAGAAATGGATTCATCACCAGCTCATGTGCTGGAGGCTTGGGCCAGGTGAACCCTGGTTTAGAGAAAAAGTAGATGATGTTTTTTTTTCATTCGTTGCATGACTTGGTTTTTGCATCAGAATTCATCTTCGCTGTGTGCAAATGAGATTGCTGGATTCTATGTTATATTGCTGGGGTCAACATCTGGGAGTAGCTTCCACTTACAGGCAGCCTCGGAAGGACTCCAGCAGTGCTACTTTTCGTGTCTAAGAAGCTGGCAGAGGGTCTGCAGATTTCCCCTGCACCAGGGCTCTCTGCCCTCCAGGTCATCGTAGGTGTTAGGACCCACCCGCACAGCAGGCGGTGAGTGCCAGGGAAGAGAGCAAGGCTGCCTCTGTGCTGACAGCTGCTCCCCACTGCTCTCAGCAGCACCTGAACTCCACCTCGGGTCACAGCAGCGGCAGCGTTTGATTCTCACCAGAGCACAAAGGCTACTGTGAACTGTGCATTGCAGGGATCCAGGCTGTGCGCTCCTTATGAGAATGCAGTGCCCGATGCTCTGTCACTGTCTCCCATCACCCCCATATGGGACTGTCTAGTCAGGAAAACAAGCTCAGGGCTCCCAGTGACTCTACGTGATGGTGAGTTGCAGAATTATTATGTAGTGCAATGTAATAATAAAAGACATAAAATGCATAATCAATGTCATGCCCTCGAATCATTCTGGAACCATCCACACCCCACCACACACACACCTCCACCATCTCTCTTCACAAAATTGTCTTTCACTGACCGGGCGCAGTGGATCATGCCTGCAATCCCAGCACTTTGGGAGGCCAAGATGGGCGGATCACGAGGTCAGGAGTTCGAGACCAGCTTGGTCAACATGGCAAAACTCCGTCTCTACTAAAAATACGAAAAGTAGCCTGGCGTGGTGGTGGGTGCCTGTAATCCCAGCTACTTAGGAGGCTGAGGCAGGAGAATCACTTGAATCCAGGAGGTGGAGGTTGCAGCCAGCCAAGATCATGCCACTGCACTCCAGCCTGGGTGACAGAGCAAGACTCCATCTCAAAAAAAAAAAAAAAAAAAAAAAAAAAAAAAGAGAAAAGAAATGTCTTTCACAAAACTGGTGCCTGATGCCAAAAAGGTTGGGAACCACTGCCCTGAACTGTTTCCCCGGAATCTTCCCTCCAGAACTGCTGCTAATCAATCACAAACCTCAAGCCTCATGGGAAACAGCCCCAGCTGAGCCCCACAACAGTGACGTCCAGGGCAAGAAGGAGGCACACTCTGTGCTTTTCTTGTGTTGTCGTTAGAGAGAGCAGTCAAGGTTTTGCAAACATTAAATGATTCGGACGTAGAACAGTTTTTTTTTTCATTTGCTAGTGGGTTGAAATAGAACCCGACCGCCTCTGTCTGGCTGCTGTAGGAGGCTCAGAGGGAATGTGATGATTTATCACGTGCAAGAATAAATCAATAAGAGACCTCCCTCACAGCTGGTATTTATGGTTTATTCACTTCAAAACTGTATTTATCTAGCTTCCCATCCCCATGTCTGAAAATTGATAGATTTTTAATAACTGCAGAGGATTTATAGATTTATCCTTGTCAGACATCTTCCCATAACTCAAATGGATGTATTTCTTTCCGAGGTAAAGAATTACTAAGCATTATTTTCCCTACCACCAAAGAAATACGTCCATGCTACAGGGTGACCCTGAAAACCAACAGTGATTGATTTTTGCTTGGCCAGAGACTTTCAGGCTCTGTTTTTGGTACAGTTCTTCATTCACTCATTCACTCACTCATTCATTCATTCATTCAAATGAATGAATTAATGAATTTGAATGAAGGAAGGAATGCAAAGGAATGAATTCAAAGGAATGAACAAATGAATTCAAATGAATGAACGTATATGAATGAATGAATGCAAAGAAATGTATATAAATGAGTGACTTCAAAGGAATTAATAAATGAATTCAAACTCATGAACAAAGGAATGAATGCAAATGAGTGAATTCAAAGGAATGAATTCAAAAAGGAATGAATGAAATCAAAGGAATGACTGAATTCCAAGGAAGGAAGGAATTTGAAGGAATGAATGAATTCAAATGAGTGAATAAATTGAAATGAATGAGTGAATTCAAATGAGTGAATGAATTCAAATGAGTGAAGAAATGAATTCAAAGGAACAAATGAATTCTAAAGGAACGAATGAATTCGAAGGAATGAATGAATGAATTCAAAGGAGG